CTACAATGCCCTGGTACCAAAACCTTGCCACACAAACCCGTTACAGGACTATACAAGCCCCAGGAATGAATGACATGGTCCTGTCCCTTAAATTCCATCAGTCCTACAAATCAGTTCAAATGGCATGTCTTACCAATCAGAGTAGCTGTAGTAAGGAAATGGAAATATTCCCAGTGAGATTTCCTGCTTCCTTTCACAGGTAACTAGGTTGTTCATATCTGTAATTTTTGCTGTTTTGGCAGTAACAAGGAAATCAAAACATCTTGGAAATTAAATCCAAACACTGATCAAACAAATCTAACTGCAGCCCTTTCCAGATTACTTTTTCAGTTTACTTTTCAACAATCTAGCCAGGGTCAGGATCCCACACTTTCCATTCACTATAATGATTCCTGCCACAACCAAGGTGTCCTGGGTCTGAAGAAGAAATGGATTTTATTGGAACCTCCCAAAAGAAATCCAGATTGCGTGGACCCAGATTTCCAGTGTTCCAGTCTGAGGCTGGGCTCGTGCCTGCTAGTCAGGTAAAAGTGAAGCAACAAACGGTCTCGTACCATCAGTCAAGTATCTAGAAGGAAAATCACATTCCTTGGACTTCTTTTTCCTGCTCAGCAGCAATCACAGTTTCCTTCACGGTGTCAGTAACATTCTCTTTCCTGCATTTGTTGGGAAATCGAAAAAAACCAAATCCCATGATTTTATTCTGCTACTCCAACTGAGGCCACTGAGCAAAAGACTTGGATCAATGCTTGAACTTGGACCCTTCTTGACTCTTCTGGAGAATCCACCCAGATCTGTTCTGATGTTCCAAAACACTCGATAGCAAAGGTTTTCTTCATAGAATAATGTAAAGGGTTAGGCTCACTTATTCTCACCCTCTGAGGAAGTCACAAATTCCTAAACAATGGAGACGCACAATAACCCACACGGGCATTTTAATATGGTATGAGTCATCCTCTGGTGCCTAATATTATTAATAATTTTTTTTAAAAAAAGAATTCTCAATTCTGAATACTAACAGGCTCAAGCCATACAGAAATGCTTAAGAAACTGAAAAACGTCCACCTTATATTTCTGCTTGGAGAGCTGAACTTGACGTTTGTTTTCTCCTTAATGGCTACACTGCTCAGAAACAGCTACGAACAAGTCAGTGGAGATCTGCAGAGGTGATGTCATTACTGAAAATTATCATTTACCGCAAAGTTTGGAGTGAACAGTGGAAAATTTGTACACGAAGAAACACTGATGTCTGGAATGGCTAAAGGAGCAAGAGCTGTTACAGTGAGATGAGAGACCTTTTGCTATCAAGATCAAAATCCCATGGAGTGTGGGGGAAGGAAAGAAAAGCAGTTCTGAAAGGTCGCTCGTGCAAATGTGAAGCAGCCCATTAGGAAACATGATATGGTAATTTTATTGGGGCTAGTCAACATAATGCTGTTAGAGGCACAGTACAGTTCAACCTGGACTTCCTCTTCACGTTCAAAGGCCAATTAAAATAAAAGGAAATCGATGTGTTTCGCTCTTAAGTTGTTAAAGGTGAAAACCCGACAGTGTGTACACACAGAGCATACTCATTAACGCTAATGCATTAATCAATACATTTTGCAGTATGGTTTTGCAGCATACCTATGAAGGCAATGCTCTGGGAAGAATTTATAAAATAAAATAAAATGTGAAGTCATATTCGGGCTTCTATCAGGAAACATCTCTGCACTGTGCCATACTAACACGCAACCTCAACCAAGGCAGCCCACGTACCTTTGCTGAGGCCACTGCACAGCACAGATGCATCAAGCACTTAGAAAATAGCAGGACTGTGCTCAGCAGGACCCAGTCCCTCCCAGAGGGCCAGGGGCACTACCTGGGGTAACCACACAGGATACCACATACGTTCTGTATTTGTTGGGAACATTCTGGATAGAAACCCAAATAGGATTTTGGATGCATTAGTTTCTGCAATGGCAGCCAAAACCAAAAGAGCTAAAAAATTAGTTCTGTAATTAGGTGCAGCAGGACCTGTTGTACAGCATCTTGTCTTCACAGGAAGAAAGAGGATGTCCATTAGATGCACAGCAAGCTGGAATGGGTAAAGCAATTCCTGCTCAGAAAACATCTGTCCTTTCACAGAAACACACTCACACACAAGTCCTAGGAAGCTCAGCATATGTCTGCCTGGCTGAGTGCAGACATACATGATCCAGTTTGTAGCCAGAAGTTGCATGGACTTGTTACAACCACTCGTTGTCTGGGCTAATAACATCTTATATTTTTTTAAAACAGCACTTTTGAGATCAGGCAGAGTGTGACACCAAGGTGGCGACAAATTCTCCTACCCTACAGCTTGCTTAACTTCAACCAGCTCAGGAATAGGATACAGAAAATGTGAATCTGCCTGTGTAGACATTTTCCAATAAGGTCCGGAAACTCAATAACCTGTCCAAAGAGGATATACATGGCAATACCTCTTCTATGAATACCTTTGAATAATCCAGCCTGGGATAGCTAAGAAAGGTTACAGCTCCAGACTTTCACTCTGCTCCTGCAAAAGCACCAATCAGAAGTTTGAAACTAATTATTTTTCAATACCTTACATGACAATGGACTTTGTGAATAGCTCATTAATTGCTTAATTGAAGTTTTTTTACAAACATTCTGTATAGATCGTTTTAGAGCATTTAACCCACACCTATCACTCTTAAGAAAAACAGACTATAAATTAATTCCATTACTTATTAGACCCATATCACATGCTTGGTAATCTTACACTCATTTCTAGTCTCTCTACAATAAAATGTATCCAGAAAAGTTTAGTTTTTGAATATACTGATTTTGAAAGCTAACAATTTCTGAAAATTTCGAGAGTTCTGGAAAGAATGTTGCAACTGGTCTGTATCACCCATTTCTGAAAGACACGGAATTGTATCTCTGTTCATTTAAAAAAATGTGTGTGTATATATATATATATATGTATGCCTCCTGTGTTATTTGACTGCTTGAATAGGGATTAAAATATCACATAAATGTAAGCAATGAAACAGGCCTAACTTTAGGCCAGTACTTGAGTGAAACCATTATCTAATATTTCATAAATAAGGGCACTTCTTGAGGTAACACCGCACATTCTTGTTAAACACGAGAGATCAGAAGATATATATTTAAAGCTAGTATTTAGAAAGCTTTATCAAAGTGTTGTTTTATATGCCTTCTGCCACTCTGCTGAAGGTGTGACCAGACTGGGTACCATTCCTTAGCTCACTCTAAGTGCAGTTCCACAGGGAGGTTGTGTTGGTTTCTTTCAATGTAGAATGCACCTGGTCTTAAACTGATTTCTGTTTGCTGGTAAAAGCACTGATGAATTAATATTTGGACTAACAGGCAAAACAAAGTGGATCAGAGACTGATTTTGACAGAAAATTAAACTATGATTGTAGAAGCGTTAGAGGATAAGAAAGAACTATTCAGTGCATAGGCATGCCATGGGGACTGCAACACATTTTCTTTATAGACACTACCTAGCAGAAGTGTCAGGAATATACCTGCTAGGCTTGAAACTGAAGCAATTAACAGTTCCTCAGTGACTTCAATGGCCAGAAATGCAAAAATGGGCTTTTAAAGCAACAAGAAATGAAATGGAGACCATATGATCTCTGCTGTTTGTCTACTTTTCATGCCCTCAAGCTGTAAAAGAACCAGGAAAAAGAAAATGCAGTTCTGTGAATCGTACTCCTTAGTGGTTCGTTCCAAGGGGGACTGGCAATGCAGCTACAGGATTCCACAGCAGGAAGGCTGAATGAAGGGAGTGGGAGTTACTGCAGGCAAGGAGAAACATGGAAACAGACTCCTGTCAGTCAGGCTTGGGTGCTATTTGCCTGAAGTTGTCATAAGAAAATCAGAGATAACACTCAGCAGTTTGGCATTTTCAGCTTTTTCATAAAACGTTTATAAACATAATAAAATAATTTGCACAACAGCTTTAGAGATAAGCACTGCAATTTGAAGGGAGACAGAAACCTCTGGAAATGCACTATCATCTATCCTAGCGTATTAACACCCTGAAACCTACAGATTTTCAGTCAGGATGGTTCTTCCCCACTTAAGACAAAATAAGTCTGTTATCCCTTCTAGTTCTGCTTTTCTGCAGGGCAGCATAGTACATTAGTTTAATTCCCTGCCTCCCCGCTGAGGAAAGAGACCATTTTCACTAGCATACAGCGAAGGACAGGACTGGAGAGCAGACGACCACTGTGCCAGCATCAGGCTGGAGCTCACGACAGTCTGTCTCAAACACAGCTAAGAAGGGTCCACCCAGGATCAGCTTTGCTACTGCCCACCTGCCAGTCTTTTTAATGTAATTTAACTGGAAAAGCTACGGGATGCGGCAAGGACATCAAGCTCTCTTTCTACTGACTTGAGAATACAGCATGCCCATATTCCACTTTTTAAGCAAGCTATCTCAAATCCAACTGCTTTAAATACAAAATTCAACTTGTTCAGTTCAGCTGACTTGTTGGCTGAACCTACAAGTGCAAGATTAGAGCAATGGCTCGACCTTAGAGCGAGTCTACCTTTACAACGAAATGCTGTTTGGCACTCATTGTCTGATAAAACAAGCCTCCATGCCCCGCGTCTAACAGTTAATGAACTTTCAAGAGAGAGAGAATGCAGAAGGCACAAAGAAAGAAATAAGAACCTGGATCACATCATATGACTTGGATGAAATTCTGGAACATCTTTCACTCTTTCTGCCTTGAAGAAATTTTGGTACTGGATGAACAAGTCCACAATTAAGTGAGGGCATGTGGATTTTCTGAGTAGAACTATGTAAAAAATTACAAAAACTAAGCAGCCAAAGAGAGAAAGATGAAACATACATAAGAACAGAGAAGAATAATGATGGAACTTAAAGGAATTACTTGCAAAAACAAAACTGAATTTGGAAAAAAATTACTTCATATTTCAGGTTTAATTCACTTTTTTGTAATTAAATATTATTTATTTACCTTTCCATGTTCTTTCCTCATGTGAGAGATGTAAACGTCTCTCTGAGTGAAGAGCCTATCACACTCCCAACACGTCCAGCCAGGATTAGCCACTTTTTTAGGTTCTGCTTTCTTTATGGGAGAAGGAGATTTCTTCTCCAGCTTTTCTGTTCCGTTGATAGATTTTGTGTCCTCTTTGTTGTGACTGGCTGAGTTCTGAGTTGTGGGTTTAGTACTGAGAGGCAGATTTATCCCCAGGTTTGGTGGCCCCTCAATGCTTTTCAAAGTTCCATGCATAGACTACAATAAAAGAGAGGAAAAAAAAAGTACAAAACTAAAATAAATGTATGCAGTTGTATCGACAAAATGCAAAGACCCTCTGAACCAAAAGTCTTCATTTATTTCTTTGTCATACCACTATCAGATTGTGCTTTTAACTTAAAGAAACATGATTAAGTACAGGCAAGGCTTAGCATAAAAAGAAACTAGGCAACAACACTAAGAGACGCCAACCATAGCTAAAGAGAAGTTTTCTCCAGTGGCTAGATATTTTCACCAATTAAAAAAAAAAAAAAGAAAAGAAAAAGACTTTGTAGGTTAAGTTTAAATTGCTGTTTAATAGGGAGGAAAAAAGGGCTCAAGAACTATTTCCTGTTCAGTTTAATTTCTTGCTTTACTTACCTAACATACTAATTGAGCATCGTCATTTCAAACTATGTGACTAGAGATTTCCAAGACGAAGAGGTTTTTACTGACAAATTTTGACTTGGCAAATTGGTAAATAAGACAAGAAAAGGCAACCCTGGGAAGATCAGGCAACTGTATCATTAGGATATATTAACAGTTTATGTTGAGGCTGAGTGAAGCCGTCTTACTCCATGTGCAGGTTACAAGCACCCTAACTTAGGGCTACATTGCTAACAGGCCTTAGAATCGAAGGTGTGCAGGGCTGACAGGGTCCCCAAGACCAGGGGACAGCTAAGAGGCATCTAACAAGCTGTTCTCAGGCACCCTGCAGCTCTTAGGTAGTGATCACTCCTCACTGATTTATTTCTAGATTTTAAGTAAACGATCAGGAAGAACAGAAGATCTCTTCCACCTCCTCCCTCCCCAATTTCTGGAGCCAGGGTCATACGCCAGTACGACAGACAACGAGTCTGGGAAGACCTGGGCTTCAGCTGTGTCCGAGTTTCACATATGAACATGGACACAGCAGGAATAAGTCAGCAGGGTTCTGGGCCCACAAAGGTGACTGAAGCCCAGACTTAGCATACTGTTGAACATTGATCCACTATCAAGATCTCTTTCACATCTAAAAGACTTCCCCTTTACACAGACAGTGTTCTTGTCATCTCATCTACTGATCTATTATAACTCTCCTGGATGATATGTTTAGCCATCCCAAACAGAATTATTTTTCCTACAGGTAACCTCAGAAACAAAAAAACATTCAATACATCCCTGATTCTAAGAATGTGAGAATACAAATCTGATACTCCAGTATCAAGTTCTTTTGTAAATCCCACGGCTCTTGGGACTACCCGCTGGCTGGACAGCAAATATCAACCTGATCTGTAGAACCTGTTCTTCTATTCAACAGTTGTTAAATAGAAGAAAAGGCAGTAATTTATAAAACTAAAACGTCACTAAAAAGCAAAGTGCACAGGACCAACGGGCTGGCTCTAACAACCTGAAGTTGTGCAGTAAAGGAGGAGGCTGCCTTTAGTATCCCATTGTACCAGGAGAGAAGCACGGGGCAGGGGGAAGGAGGTTCCTATACTTTCAGGCAACCAAAGACTGGCCTGGGGATTCCATTGCAGCTTAACTTGGCAGCATGTAAAATGTTAGTGCTCAACTCTCTAAATTTCTTTTAAATACAATACTTGGAGTTTAATTTCTTATTTGACAATAAACAGAAAGTATTAAAGCTTAACATGGAGTCCCAGCGATGACAGCACATACCACCAGCAGAATGGGAGTATTACAGCTCTAGCCCAGACCTCCACTGCCTGTCCTCACTGGCTGTCAGGAGTTCCCCTGTAGCGAGTGTTACAGGAAAATGCGACATACATTTGGCCCACAAGAAACATTCACATCAGCAGGAAAAAATTTTGTAGCTTCAGACAACCTCCTCCTGAGCTTCTTTCTACCCCTTTCTGTTCTACTTTCATCCAGGTCTTCTCTGCCTTGGTGGTTTATGTCTAGCCATACCAAACAATTACTTTTTGCACAGCTGGGCTGAGCTCAGCCCTTGTCTGGCACTCGTCCTCCCTTTGAGTCCTTTTCTGTTTTTATCTATACCCTGTTACTGTTTTTTCATTCCCCCTTAACTGAAGTCAAATTTATGCTTTTCTGCTGCTGTCCCTACTACTATACACACATTCTAAATGTAAAAGCACTAGCAATCCTGAATAAAAGCAGTAATACTGTTACTGCACGTGAATGTTCTAATCCTTCGATTTTATTCTCAAAAATGTCTGAAATCATTTATAGTGAAACAAGCTAAAAAACCCACAACCCACTGGTTGGAAGTATGAACACTGGCATGGAACATTAAAGCCAAAAGAGTTAAAGAGTGCCCAAATCTCAAGTAACTGAGAATAACTTTATAATGAGAGATGCTGAGCAACCCTGGTTTATGTAGGAATAGCTTCTGGCCCCAACTACAGTGAGATCATACTCCCAAAACAGTTGTTTTCAGGTCTTAAAGAAGTAGTTACGTAGAGATGTAACAATACTTTTACAATAATGCTCAAGTCAAGAAGAACTAATGACATAAGTAAGACATACACTGCAACATATGGAATTTGCCTATTTAGTCAAAAAAAAAGAAGCAATACAAGTAGATCAAAGGAAACAGAAAATAGGGTTTCACATTTCTGCACGAGAGGACCATGTAAGATACTCGGCATAAATGTAAGATGATTCTTACAGTTGACATAAACTAGTTTAGAAACAAAGAAAATATCCAGTCCTCGTATTTCTGAACGTCTTGGGTCAGCCCTTCCCTACCTCATCCTCAAGTTTAAGATTGGCTTTAAGACCACCTGTTTTTTCAAGACCTGTGATCTTGTTTTCAACACAACTTCAGAGATTTCAGAAGTTGCAAGTGCCATAGTTGAGACTAAAATGAAAAATTATGGTTTTAGTAGACAAGAAAGGTGTCCCATTTTCCACTACTCTGTATACAAGTTCTACTAAGTTTTATGTGTCACTGCAAGAGAAATCCACTGAATTAAGTGCTGCCATTCTGGACTGTAATACTTCACAATGGCGTCACTACTTGCAACTGTCAGTAGGCACCAGATCATGTCAATAAGGGATAAGAAATTTCAGCACTGCTAACAGATTTGGTATATATAAAACAAGGTAACCCAGCATATTTAAAATACACAGCTAACAAACTATAGCCAGGGGACTGCTGATTCTTCATGATGTGCAAGGATAAATCTTCTTCAGGTATAACAGTATTTACGAGAAAATACACTTCAAATTTTTTTTCAAAGCATGCATGTGTTTATGTCCATACGTAAACACACACACACAAGTAACTTCTACATCTATCCAAGAAACACACCGGTTCCTGCTGGTGAATTCTGAACATCAAAGGTTGTAATGTACTCAGCATTCTCAGCTCCTAACAAGTGGAGTAACACTTAGAATATTGTAAATAAGGCTCAATACTTATTAGGATCGGACTAACTTGCTTCACTTACCCATTATTATTTTGATAAAATGACCTATTGAATGCAATGCACTGAGATATTCCTAGTATATCAAAATCATTACCCATACAGAAAAACTGAGTTAGTAACTACATCACAGACAAGCTGAAGAACATACAAAATATAACATTTTAACACCTGAGAACATTATTCACAGATTACTCTCACGGAATTATTAACATCTCTCTCAGCAGTCTTCTTGTTATTCTGTGCCTTTTTACAGTATTTTCTCACAGCATATATTGCATGACAAATGGTATCTACAAACGAAACAAGAGAAGATGCCTACACACCTTGATATGATCCATCATAAGCTGTTTCTGTGCATACAGAAGAGAACAGTCTGGACACTTGAAAACAGACACCTTCTGGTTTTCAATGTGCTGATCAAAGTGGCGATAGAGCAAAGGTTGTAGAGTAAACACAGTGTCACACATAGAGCATTTATATATTATTCTAAAAACAGAAGTACAACAAACAATGTCAGTCATGTTGATGATGTATTTGCAAGAATCACGATGTTAACTTTTTTTCTCAGCAGAGGTAAGATCTGACATGTTTAAATCATTTCACACTGCCTGAAAAAAGTTAAAATTAAACATTCAAAACATTCTCCCATTTCAAAATATGGGAGCAGCAGAAAAAAACAGAAAAAAAGTGTTATTAAAAAGTGCAAACAAGAAGCCAGAAAACAACAACATATGCCAGTTACATGCATAACACCAACATCTGCTCAGGATACTCCAAAAGTCAAATGTTTTCAGTTTCTGAACGCACTTATAACTAAAAGACAATATACCTGTTTCAGGTTGCAAAGGCAGTATGTTTTAAGGGAGTGCTTGATTCAACCGTAATTGGTAACATACTTCAAGATAAGGTTATTTTTGGCAATGTACATGGCTTTGAACCTCCTCAATGCCAAGTCTAGATGCCGTTAACGCTCTGAAGCTGAAATTTCACAGGATGGCATTTCCCTGTTTTGCAATTATAAGCCGTTAAGAATCTGTCTATTGAAGCAATGTAGAGACACCACCAAACCCACAACTTCCTCTCTCAGAGTGTATGCAACTTTCGAAATTAGCCACCTAGATCTCCCATTCTGATAGGCAATATTCCAATCAAAATTGTAACAGAAGCTACTTACGTTTTAGTAGCTGTGTAACTGCTGAAGCAATGCATCTATTAATATAATTTCAAAAGTCCATCAGAAATAGATATACTAATTAACAAAGAACTAGGTAAGTACTGGATACTAAAAACATACTCCATGAAAATGCATATGATCGCCAAAATTCTGTATCACAAAATCCTAAGAACATTATTAAACAATCTGAAAATAGCTGTATTTTTAGCAGATTCTCATCAAGTGTCTGCCCAAAAGACAAAAAAAAAGGGAAACCAGAAACATAATCCTCTGATCTAAATGCTGCAACAACTGCGACATGACAATAGTTTGAAGCTGGTTTCATTTTGCTGATGATTTTATAATGAAAGTATAGTTTAAGGTGCACTCTAGTTAATTATTCACTTGATGCTTAGGTTGTTTTTGCTTATCTGTATATTTGACTGTATTGAGAATGATTTCCCTGGCAACCACAGGTGAATAACAAGCCCAGCCATTCAAGCTGCAACCCTTTAATGTATCTGTTCATAAAGAGTAAACAATTCCATTCTTTCAGAAATACCAGCTTCTTTTTAACTTGAAAATGAATGAAAGGAAATGACATGTGAAAGAAAAGTAATGAAGAAATTCACCATAAATCATCTGATGAGAGAGCAATCTAACCCATCAGCCACCACTAGCGGCAGTACTTCAGAAAAAGTTCAGCTAAAATCAAAGAAACCCAACAACATGCGCCCAGCACAATCATAGGCACGTCCTCTGCAAAAGCAGTCTTCCTCATCCCATCAATTGGAGCTTGAGCTCCATCTTAAAGAATGACTTTCCATTAAAAAAAAAACCCAAACCAACAAACTCTGCTTGCTAGTATGCTAAATATTCTCACTATGCACATAAATGTTCCAAGTCCCTTCTATATCCCTATAAGCAATGACCATCAATAGTGCATCGTTCAAGAGCTCTGAAGATCATTCTGCACTGTTTTGAGATGACAAGAACAGGGACACTGCTTCAATGTCCAAGCCATTCACCAACTCCAAATACTTGAAATAATGAAAAATAATACACAACCATATTAACTGTGAAAAATAACACTTCTGTGGTATATCAAGTGGTCCTAGTTTCTCACATATGCCAAGATAAATCTATTATTACACAGCACCCTCTGATGACCTACACACTCCTGTACTCTGTTCCGTGGCGAACCCACTGCAGGGGCCACATACCCTGCACAGGCACAGCAGAATACACCTGCTAGCTTCACCTAGCGAGCATGGCGTGCCCCCTCCCCATCCTCTGACCCCCACATCACTGTCCATAAAAGCCTATTAAACATTATTCAAAAGAAGTATTTTAGTTTGCCACATTATTATTGATCTATACCCCATCAGAATCCTAACTTCTTGGATAATTCCTGTATGAAAGGTGTTAAACAGCTTGCTAGAAATAGGAAATGCTTCTTGGTAATTATAGGTTAAGAAAGAAACCCTTGCTCCTAAAATGTAGTTTTGCCTCATGTACCTCCCATCAATATAAACCCATGTATCCTACTAATAATTTTAACTAAGACTGTAAAAGACAACAGGGGGGAGGAAGTCAGTGCCTCACCACTGCAGCAGGTCAGCTGGATTGAGCACAGGCAGAACCAAAGAGAATGCGAACCTTCTCCAGGCACAGTGCTGTTACAGGCACGCTGAGGGATGCACTGTTAAAGCTCTAAGGGTAGAAAGAGCCAAAGGACGCACTATGCAAGGGATCATTTCCCTTGGCCACGGCACACGGAGCTACTGAGCATCTAAGCATGCTCCCCTGTCTGGGTTCCATCTCAGTAGCGTAGACAGAAAGCGGTGATTTTACTGTCAGCCCTCTTCACTCCATCCAACGAAAAAAAACAGAGTTTCCTCAGAAAAGTACTCGCTGCAGTTCTGCAGTGAATCTGCTTGTAATGCTAGAAGCCAGAGAGCTGGTACTAACCACACATATCCCCTCATCCTGGGGCACTGAGTATTTTTCTGCTGTCCCTTAGGTTGTGCTTCTTGTAACACTGTCTCACATCTCCATCAGCAATTTTGTTCAAAAGCCAGGACGCGTCAAGCCTGATGACTGAGCAGGCAAACAAGCCGAGGCACAGCACTGTATCACAGCCTTGTCCCTGGCAGGGTGATTTTCACCCTTCTGGTTGACTGCTCACGTACCACTGGTAACATAGAGAATCCCAGCATCTTGGTGCCTGTTGCTGAGTAGCTGATCCCATGGCTAGGTGCTAAAGAGACATGAGTAAAGTCACATTGCTCTAGGTTAGCAAGATGTAAATAAAGACTGGCAGAATTAAAAATAATTATCTGACTATTTCATGATGTATATTTCCATTAGAACCGTACCTTGCAAACAAAATTAGACATGAGAAATTAGAAAATCTGCTTTATCATCTGTGGTGGAACTAGACAGTGATCTCGGCTGGAATGATTCCAGGCCTGTAGTATATAAATTTATCAAACAAACTCTGTTCCACTATATGCTTCAGATTCTTACCGTATCTAAAGAACGGAAGACTACAGAATCGCTGAGGCTGGGAGGGAGCTCTTGAGGTCATCCAGTCCAACCCCTGCTAGCAGGGTGACCCAGAGCAGGCTGCCCAGGATTGCGTCTGGTCGGGCTTTGAACGTCTCCACAGACCGAGACTCTGCAGCCTCTGGGCAGCCCGTTCCAGTGGCTGACCAACCTTCACAGTAAAAAAGTGACTTCTTCTGTTCAGGTAGAAATTCACGTGTTTCAGTTTGCATCCATTGCCTCTTGTCCTGTCTCTGGGCACCACGGAGAAGAGTCTGTCTCTCTCTTCTTCATGTCTTCCCATATGGTAGTCACACACATCAATGAGCTCCTGAGCCTTCTCCTCTCCAGGGTGAACAGTCCCAGCTCCCTCAGCTTCTCTTCACACGAGAGATGCTCCAGTCCCTTATTCATCTTAGTGTCCTTTTGCTGGCCTTGCTCCACTATGTCCACGTCTCTCTCACACTGGGGACCCAGCTCTGCGTCCAGTACCGCAGCACTGCCCCAGCAGCACTCAGCAGAGGGGAAGGATCACCTCCCTTAACCTGCTGGCAATGCTCTTCCCAAGCCCTTAAGGACCATGTACATCCCTGGGTAATGCGGCACTGACAGGAGAAAGTGAATCTGCTACAAAAAAATCTGACATCTTTCTGAATTTATCAGCTATAAAAATTCTACCCCTCTAAAAACCCTAAGAGCTGAATACATGTATCTTCTACGTAAGCTAAAAGACTCTACTCTGGTTTCCCACAAGGACAAGAACTATCTGGTAGAGAACCAAATTTCAGACAGGTAATTGGGAGACCACTCCATTAAATTCATACCAACATACCTAATAGTACGAATTGTGACTCTACAGACTTTGAGTATTTCTTTCAGTCACATCAACAGCATGATTTTCAACCTGAACACATGCAACTGTAGTCAGTATTTAACAGCTTAAAAACCTATCCAAAGCCTGAAGGCAGTTATGCTTAGTCAGGACACCATTTACAACCACCTCAATCCAACAACAGACGTGAGCAAAGCAACCACACTGCCAGGGTGGTGACTGCTCCTGCCCCACAGTACAGAGCAAAACAGGCATGGTACACGTGCTTTTTCACTTCTCAAAAATCCAGTTAAACTCACATGTTATCTCAGAATAAATAAAGGAAACATTTTCATCTTACATAAGATATTTAGCGTTTTGAAAGCTTCTGCACCAGAGTATGGCATTTCTCCTTCCCGTAATTTTTTTCTCTAAAAAAAAAAAAAAAATGGTACTTGTGGGATAATATACTTTGTATCAATAGCACAATACATATCCATAATCTGGCTTGATAAACAAGAATTTCTCCAATATCCAAAAAGAGACCAGCCACGGAAAATAAGTTAGTGCTGTTTCTATGAAGCTACACTGTTTACCAAAAAAAAAGAAAATCGCATATAAGGTCTGGTTTCCCATAAAAACCACGTAGCATCTTAGGTATGCTACAGGAGAGAGCTCCACAAAGTTGAAAGACAAGACAGCCATCTATTTCCCTATATTAAAATAATCTAATTTCATCCCACTGAGAATCACTACACATAAACTTAACCTCTCACACACCAAACAATGTACTGTATCTGTTCTGAAACAATCATTTGTTATGTAGTCGTAAATCACACGGTTCCAGTAAATGCCAGAGGCACACAGACACGCACCCAGGAAGACCAGTTCCTGTAAACGAGACAGTCTGAACCAGTAAAGAGTCCCTCAGAACCGGCCTGGCCTCAGCCCTCTTACATGGCAGAAGTAGTCAATCTTCCCCAGCCACCCGGACGTGCTGACACAGCAGGCCTTGTTTTTGGCTGCACCTCTGTGATGCCCAGAGGAGCACCGAGAAACCAGACTCCATGGCTATGCAGAGGTCTATAGCACCTGCCTGCCAGGTGAAGCTCAAAACTCACATTCAAGGGTCAGATGCCTTTTATGCACTCAGTGAAAACTCAGAAGCTTTACGTTTCCCAACACAGAAGGCGACTGTACCTTCTGCTCCTTTAAAATTTTTACTTCAGAACAAAGATTTAACTGAGCTTATGTAGTCATATCTACAGTGTTACACGACTATATTAAATTCCTTCTTTTCAATAATGAATTTGTTAAGCTTTCAAAAATGTAACGTAGATGCTAGGGAATATGATACAGATAAACCAGCAGCAGCAGATTTGTCAAATGTGAATATATTTCCTCAAATACAACAGCGCTTGTCAGCTCCACTCAGCGCTGGTTAGGCCACAACTGGACCACCGTGTCCAGTTTTGGCCCCACAACTCAAGAAAGACATGGACAGACTGGAGAGGGTCCAAAGGAGGGCCACAAAGATGATCAAGGGGCTGGAGAACCTGCCCTATGAGGAAAGACTGAAGGAGTTGGGTCTCTTCTCCCTGGAGAAAAGAAGGCTCAGGGGGACCTCAGCACAGTGCTCCAGTCCTTACCAGGCAGCTACAAAGGGGATGGAGGGTCTCTCTTCACAAGGAGCCACATGGAGAAGACAAGGGGCAATGGGTACAAGTTGCACCAGGAGAGGTTTTATCTTGAAACAAGAAAGAAATTTTTTACAGTGAGAATAATCGCTCACTGGAACAACCTCTGCAGGGACATGGTAGAATCCCTGCTGCTGGAGGTTTTCAAGATGTGGTTGGACAGGGTGCTAGGCAATGTCACCACGGTGCCCTTTCCCAAAGATCTTTCGAGGTCCCTTCCAACCTTGGCTGTTCTGCAATTTTAACACAGAACATTACAGCAAATAAATCAGAATTTGAGCCCTGTCTAACATTTGGTGTCAACTTGACCAAGACTAACAAGAAATACCCTCAGAAACCAACTAAATTAAACAACAAAAACATTTCCTTTCTAAATTGCTACTGAGTAGCAGGAATACATGTAGTTAATTCTGAGGAAAACCACAGGCCCTGACAGCTTGAAACAGACCTTATTAAATGGTGAAACGGCAGTCAATGCGAGCGAAACAGCCATCAATGCGAGCATCTTGAGCGTTGGTGGCAACACCATACTACCTACAGATGCTTGTGAAACGGAACAAGAACTCCAGACACTGTGAAGACTGGGAAAATCCCACTAGTCACCCTGCATTCATTTAAGGTAGCGTCTTGATTAAAACTGGCAAATTTAAAGAATTCTTAAGAAGAGCACTCAACTATGGATTCTGTGCTTTATTACAATACAACAGTAATTAATAAAATTTTATTTTAAGTCTTTTTATAATCAAAACAAATTCATAAAAGAATACAATTATAAGCACATCTACCTATATGGAAAGAAATAACTTAATTCACAAAGTTGATCAGAAACCGTTCAGCAGATCCAAGCACAATTCAAGAAATCTGCACTTTTCACATGTGAAGTATCTTACACAAATGGTGATCTTAATTTTCTAGTTTTCTCTAATGAAAATTATGGGAATCTGAAACAAGCTTTAGATTAAATGTTGGTATTTCAAAGCCTCTCACTGAAGACACCATCTTAAATTAAAAGAAGGTATCACTTGTAAGCTGGGCGGAAATGTCTTAGTTTGATATCAGACACTGTAAGGTTGTTGCCATTTTGCTTTTAATGTAGGTTTAAACACCCTAAGAATAAATCTCCTGTTAATATGTTAGAAGAAACAGTGATAAACCATATTCTTTCAAAACCAGGTTATTACGTTACATGGTACCCTGTTTCTCTCATCTGCCTTCTGTTTTCTTAAGTCTGCAAGTTGTTAAAATGCACTAGTGCACTCTGTGCACTCCCGAGAAACAACGCGGAGTTAAATACTTGAACGGTTACTTTCAGCACTGCACTCCTACTCACAGAAGAGAAAGAAGACAGAAGAAAAAGGTCAGCAATGAGAAGGCATCAGGCTAAGACCGATGGGATTTGAAGCCTGATTTTCACATGCATCGGCACCTGCAGCTCCCACCGGCTTCAGCAGAGACCTTGAACGTTCAACATCTTTAAAACAAAGACCCTGAGCCAGGTTCCTAACTGTGCCCTGCGCTGCCATCCTCAGTAAATCACTGTGTTTATGCACAACTTTCCTAGCTACAGCACAGAATCAGTTCTGCTTTAATGCAGAAAAAAGAGATCATGTGTCAGAAAAAAAAAGAAACAGCTCTAGAAATGCATCTGTTTTGATTTGGAGAGGCAAGGCTGGAAGAGGTTTAAAGGCTGGCACCTCTCACTTAGTAACACACTAAAACTGCCCTCCCTGACATGACCGTTTTAGGGAAGCAAAAACCTAGCTCATCCCCCCGCAAACTATGGCTTTCCTGAAGAAAAATCTAGTAGGCAGAAAGAGAACAGGTCCTGCAGGAAAAACATCGCCCGACAAGCCAGAGGCTGCCTGACCAAAAGAACAGGGTACTGCAGGTGGCCATAGCCCACGAGAATTGCCCGAGGTCAGCCCCAGGATGACAACTGCCACTTCTAAACCCAACTCTCACACGTGCACACCCTGACCCCTCTGAACGGAGGGCACTGAAAGAACCAATTTTCCAAATTCACCCAGATGACCATCTGTGAGCATGTAATTAAAAAAAAATAAAACCACTTTTTCCCACCTTTTCAATCAGATGTTATGAAAATCACTGCATAAATCCTGATGAGTCTTAGCAGTTCTTTTTGGAATCACATTATCTTAATTCACAGTATAAATGTAGATGAGCTAAGCAGATTAAAAAATAAGAATGAACAACACACTAGCTAGCTGTCCGAATCATGCTTGCAGTTACTGTATTACCCTCCTGTAGTGCGCAGTGTTTAAAGAACTGCTACTGCTATGTTCATGGAAATATAACCTTTGCCAAACAAATTGCCAGCTAAAAACTCAGGAAAACATTACATGAACTCCACACATTACCAACAGGATGACAAACTGTTGGCTGTACAGTACGTGACTTTTAAGAGTATAAGCACAGGACAGAATGCAATTTCACAAGTTATTAAAATGCAGGCAAGTGCAGTAGAAGATTAATTTTGCTTACTTTGGTTCGCCTATCTTGATACCCGGGTGTTGTGTATAGGCATGGGAGTGTGTGCTGGGAGCAGATTTAAATGCCATGGGACAGATAGGACACTTGTAAAAGACTTCACAGTGACAACCTTGAATATGAGACTTGAGTGCCGCCACATCAGAGTATACAACATTGCAATGCACGCAGCTGCAAAAAGAGTGGAAAAAAGTCAGTTCAGCCTAGCCCAAAGCAGTACTGAACGAAATGGAATCAACACTGATTTTTAAGCAAGTGGAAGAGATAAACATATACATACAACTGGATAAATCTATGTTATTCTGTCAATTTAAACAACCCAGTAAGAATCAACATCAATAGATTTGCATATCAGAAAGTAAAAAAAAAAAAATTTCTCGTATCTAATTTTAAAATCTTAAGAGATATGAGGTCAGAACACGTTTTGTGGCATTACAACAAAAAAAGACAGAAGGGCTGACAGAGGAATATTCCATTGATTGTAAAAAGAATGCTTAAATCCTCTGCAAATTTGTAAAGAGATTTTACAAAATGCATTTTTATCACATGCAGTGGATTGTATAAGGTGTACCACAGCAATTTAGAAACTACCACCAAAATGGAAAACCAGGAAGGAAAATATTTTCACCATTTCCCTTGTTCAGATTTAATGAAGACATAGTGGTAATGATTTTCTCTACAGGTAATCAAATCAGCACTTGGATTTAAGAACACACACAAAAAAAACAATCAAAAAAAACCACCCCCCAAAAAAAGACTAATTTAAACTCAGGACAACTAAACCAAATCTCAGCAATCAGATCAATCTATCAGATTGGAATTCTGAAAATATTTTTCAAAAACATACTTCTGCTGCGTTGAAAATTTGTGACCTTTCCGCATCTATTCTAAAATGAAATGATTAAAAAATTGAATTAATATTAGTACATAAGAAATTCTATACACAATGGTCCCTTTTAGTGACATACATCTCCAGTACTAAATGCTGGCAACTAAGTCCAAGAACATACTGCAATAAGCCATTACAAAATAACCTGTCAAATGAACCAATTTCTTACTGACCAGCATTTTGTAGGCTTCTACCCTTCCAAAATTTTAATTTTGGCATCTATCACGGTAGTACGATTGCTGCCATATAAACCTCAAATAATTTTTTGATGCTGTTTAATGCCCTGGTGACAGCAAAAAAAGCAGGAAATACAGTTATATGTTGCATTTGAGAATCTCATTTTCCTTTTAAAATGTATCACCCTCAAATTTTACGAAATATCATCCTTTTCTTTTCTGAGCTTTCTTTTCTTACTTAATTTACATTCTTAATACTATTAATCAAGTTTATGTCTATCTAGTCTCAACTTACCAGTGCATTTTCTACAGTAAATGGTCCTTGTCTCTTTTGGGTCTGTTAGGACCTTCCCTGCTTACACAGAGACGAGCATTTCTTCGCAGCAGTATGAAGCAAGATCCTCTTGTTAACGGGCCCACTCCTAAGGGTCACCTCAAGAGAGCTGGGCTGCATTTCTCACCTCTCTGGTGAGAGCCATCCTGTCTGGACTTTATTCTCCAGTGATGAGGCACATTAAATGATCCTTAGCATCCACTATTGTACATTAGGACAGTCCTTAAGGACCAAGCCTTCCCTTCTTGGACCGGTGTAACAGCTGTTTGTTTTCAACTTGGAAGGATGCACTTGAGGTCAAAACTTTCAGCTGATTTAGTTCAGAAAACTAGCCTAAAATCGCTGAAATCAAGCCAAACTCCCTCACACCTCTGTGTGAAAGGTGTGCCTTTGGGAAGGCAAGACAGGTTATGCTGTCTCTCAAGCAAATGCACCACGGTGATAAGGAGAGGCTGAGGAGTCTTAAGGCGGCAGGCATGAGTCTTAAGGCAGCAGGCATGACCTTCCCCAGGTACTGCTTTTCTTTGCCAAGGTGTTTTTGGTTTAGTCACCCCATACAGATAAATTCTGACTTGGTGTGACCTGAGAAGTTTATGATACCTCTTGAAACGTTCAGTAACTTTAGTTTAGATCCTGAGTGAAGGATTCGAGTCTTCTAGTGTCACTGGTGCAGGCCAGGAGGCCCCAAAAGATGACTCCATGTACAAACCCAAGAGACACAGACTACAGGGAAGGGAAGCAGAGCGGAGGCAGCGGATGTAAGAAATGCAGAACAAGACAGACTACTGCTTGGGAGAAAAGAATACAAGAGAAGAACCTAAAGAAACACAAAGAGCCGAGAACTGTGTCAGGCCATGGATTCAGTCCAAAACCAGCCAGCCACAGCAGCTGGCTTGATGCAGTGAAAATGCCTTCTGCCCTTAGTGGAGATTTCACAGCCATCCTAGTAAATGAACTTGTGGCACCTTAAGGGGGAAGCAGCTCCCTACTGCTAAGATTTTAATCAGCCTTCGCCAGTCAGACAGGATGAAGGGGAAATGTTTCAGGAGTGCTGAGCAAAGCTCTGCTGTACAGGTTGCTCTTCTGATCTCTTGCTGTGCTGCCTGCCATTCAGTGTGAGCAAAATTCTACAAGAGAACAATTTTTCAAGCCTTTCAAAACTTAACATTCCCATGAAATGCCTCCAATCCCCATTTTCTCAGTGAGCTGCCGGTACAGGAAAACGTAAGAATCACAGGGAAACTGAAGAGTAACAAAGAAGAATCAAAAGACCAGGCTGTTTGAATGAGAAAGGTGATTTTCAAGTGATGTAAAGCCAAGGAATCTTGACTTCCCACAGAAAAGAGAGCAACCATACAGGTGCAGTGCACCCATCAATAAATTCTGGCAGTAAATACTGAAAATGACTGTTCTACCAGTGAGAACAATGTAAAATTCAGTGTTTTGAAAAAGCTCAAAAGGTTTTTTTTTAAGAAGTTGAAATTAAGAAAATACATCTGAATTCTTTAGACCTTATAAATTGTGAAGTCCTGAATCTGACACTTTATGGCTGGATGACATTAGCTAATATTCTCATTTAATAACATACAAAAGCAGATGCCCAAAACAAAGCAGAATCCTAATGTGGTATTTATTCAAAAACTTGTAGTACTAATAGCACTGTTGCCATGACAACCTTAAACCCATGAAGCTGTATTCTACAAACAATGCTTACGAAAATGGAAAATTACTTTTAAAAGCATAAATTATACATAAATTGACAACAAAAGTAATCATTATACTGACCGAAAACCCACTCTTCGGGTATAATGCAGGCAGTTCTTAGTGACATGAGTCTGGAAGTGGACAGATCTGCAGATTGCTCCACATTCAGGACACGTGTATGGAGATTTATGCTGATGAATTCTCTGGTGTGATGCAAAACTGCACTGGTTAGGAAGCAGCATCTGGCAGATATTGCATGTCTTCTAAACGATAAACCAAAATAGATGAAACAAAAGGTTTGGTTCAGCTATACGTAACTTCTTGTGTTAAACACTGTAATAATTAAAATAAAAGGTTAAATGTTATGACTGTGAGGAGAACCAAAAGAAGCAGGCAAGTACTAAATGCAGGCCCTACTGACAAATCTTGTAGGACAGAGCTGGCAGATACTGGCAACCAGACATGTTGGCATTCTGGGCCACTCTGACATGCCAAAGCTCGTTCATATACCACCTACCATGGCAGATGCGCGTGGTTTATACAAATTTTACTTAGGTGCCTCAACAGATTACCTTAATAGTGTCAGGGGCTCAAGTACAACTTGAGAATCAAACATTATGGTTTTAATTCGGTGCACCACAAAGTAAAAAAAACCTAACACAGCAAATACACTATCTTCACTTTTTTTGATCGTTGCTTCTGATGAATTCTTATGGTAACAGCCATAATAACAATAAAATGGAATATTATCAGGAAGAAAGTGCATAGGTGATTTCAAAATATCTTTCTCAGGCTACAATAAAACACCAGCATTATATCAACAAATTGTGCATCTGAGTAAAAACTACAGATGTATAAAATATTTACAAGGCTCTTCTTTGCAGGGCGATCTTTCTACATGCAGGAGTAATTTACTAAACTAATTCTTGTCTTGTATTCTGTTACACAAAAATAGTTTTAAAAAAAACTTTAACTACATGTTGACTATATGCCAAATGAGAAACACTGAAATTCTTTGGCTGCTTTGTGCCATTTTTCGGATGAAACGCAAATGATACAACCCAGCTGTAAACAGGCCTCTTTTGGCCACAGTTGTTTTCCATCACCGCAGAGCACAAACAGCCAAATGTGCAAAACCATTCCAGAAAATGTTTCATTTATAATAATACATCTCTAAAACCTGCAAGCAGATAGCTGACATCCTGTACGGAGCTATGCTTCTGTTTAGCTTTGATCACGGGAGCTGCTTCACTGACTTCAATAGAAACACTCATGGTCTCAAAGTCAAGCACAAATACAAGTCTTTGCAGAACAGGACTTTAACTCCATTTCTTAAGACTTTGTTTTGTAAGGCTTTTCAAATTATTATTATTATTTCTTATGACTTGGGACTTATAAATCTCACCAGTGACTTACGGAGATTTAAAACCAAAATGATATGGGTATTTTTTTAACATGAGATTTGTGTATTTTCAAAAACGTTATCCCTAAGAGTCTTGCAGATGTAGTGATGCGTACATTTTGCAAGAATACTGAACAAAACAAGATCTCCAGAGCTGCATTCTAAATTACTTACTAACCTATGTATGAGGAAATCCTGAAATAAATAATTAAGAAATAATCCCTTTCCTCATAGTAAAGCAGTTTCTTACTAAGAAACAGGTGCTTCACAAAAAAAATCACCTCCTTCTTCCAATTTAGGCAACTCTCCTTTAAATCTCTTTTAAAAAACAGCAAGATCCAGATCATGTAACAGCATAATCAAAGCTATCATTGTAGAAGCAACAGTACAGCGGTACAGATAGCTTTCACAGGAGTCTGACTTACTAGTATTAGCAACTATGCCAGTAAAAAAATTAGCCTGTTACCACTTAATAAACAGGAGATGGACAAAACTCCAAAGACAGAAGGAAAAAGCCTTTATAGTTAGTGCAAAGAAACATTTTTTTTTCCTAATAAAACACTGTTCAATATCAAGGTCTAAAGTAACTTCTTAATTGCATTAGCATTTTTACAAAACGACTGATATTCTAAGAACAAGTATATTTTTGTATTACAATCTGTACACTCCATTTTTATTCTTTTTCCAAAATAGCTTAATCTATATGCTTTTTTCAGGGCGCATGCAGACACTTTTGATTCGTTTTCTTAAAAACAGCGATTTTAAGTAGAAATGTTATCATGAAACATCTTGTGGTAACACACACAGAAGCAAGAAGTGTATTTTCACATGGTTCACTTTTAATGTTTACTTTGCGAACATGGTGGCCTGATAACGTTTGTGAACACAGCCTCCATCCAAACACAATTCCCCAATGTCCTGACGACAGCAAGATGGCAAAATGCAGAACATTGAAATAGAATTAGTTAATCAAAGAAAATCTACCATTACTCAAATTCAGGTTCAATATTAGCACTACCGCCAGCCTAAAAGATTAGTAGATAGCACGGATACACCTACTACCCTGAGGTTAACTATCTGCGGGGATTTTGAACTATCACCCTGACTAGAGCCTGTCAGACACACTCTGACGTCGACCAAACAGCTACAGCTGGAACCACGATTCATGCCCTCCACACTGAACAGGACTGGTTTGGGATGTTAAGTTTCCCTTCAGCTCAGGCTTAACTGCAAAATCCTGACTAATCACAATTCAACTTAAAATGCGCTCGCCACATTTACTTGGCTTCAGTACCGTTCCTAAAATCTGTCTTTCACCATTTATGTATTAATCAGCAGCAACATAATATTGGAGAATCCGGAGTACCATTTGATTACGTAATAAACCAGCAGAACATAACTTCTTACTCCAATAACAGAAACACATAGGGTTTTCGCAGTCCTCACAAAGCCTTTTGCCTGCAGCACTATGAAAGGAAACCAGGACACTACGACAGAAGAGCCACACAGCACTCCAACCCCAACTAGCGTATCTCCCCGATTTTGCAACAAGCAGCCTGCAAGATTCACCTGTGATGCTAGGGACTCAGACTGACACAAAATGCCAATAATGCTATTTGTCAAAGCCACTATTTTGATGTTTGGATGAGTGCAGTAAATAAATTTAACTATAACTGATTACAGTAGAACAAGAAGAATCTACTGTGAAACTCTGAAATGCAGCATGTTTGCTTACCATTTTATTTTGGGCTTAAGGTGGCATTAACTTCCAGTTTTCTCTCATTCCAACCCATACCAAAATAAAACACAGTTTGTGAAAATCATCACCTGCCTGCATTTAAAGTCAAAGTTTCAGAAAGAAAAAAAAAAAAAAGGGTTAGAAGAAAAAATGGTGGAGGTGGGAAATAAAGGTACACAAGAACTATGACCATGAAGGGAAATGAGCTATGTAGTTTCCATGGGAACTATACACTTATATCTGTAAATAAGATGAACATTAATTAGCCTAGATTCGCTACTTTTTTCCCCCCAGTAAGCAGATGAGGGTTTCATTCAGCCAGGAAACCTGTCAGTGAGTGGTCCCGTTCCCTTTAACGGGAATATTAATGGAATTAAAATACTTTACAGGGAACATCTTTTAATAGCTAAGGCTGTTTTACTATCGTTTATTTTAGAAGACACATTCAACCTTCGTAACAGGAGTTTAAGAACATGAAGTAACAGCTACTTACTGCTTAGACTCACTGAAAACATAAAACAGCACACAATTGCCACTTCAAGAGCAATTAGGTGGGTGCTAGAAAAAACAGTAAGCTGCAAATAATAACTTCTTTCCTATTATTTGTTTGCAAAATCCAAATGTTTATTTTTATTCTTTCCTCCTTCCCTTCAAAGTTAAAATATTAATTTCATCTAACTTTCCTGTCTTCTTCTCCCAAAATAATGGTAGTTTTACAACAAAAAGCCAGTGCCAATCACTAAGAAGGAAAACATAACTCAGAGTTATTTCTTGTCCAAGCTCTTCAAGGGGTAACATACAATGGAAAAGTACCAAAATGTTTATCAATAAATGCCTATACAGAGTCCTTCTTCAGCAAACACTACCCTTGCAGCAACGCTTGGGACAAAAAATGGACAAAAAGATAAATTCCCAAGAAAGAAGGATGCATTGCTCTCACTACAGCAGCTACACAGTTTCTATGCTCAGCATTTCAGTATAGCTACACTACAGTACGTCACAAAACACAACATAAAAAAAAACAGCACAGAATTGAAAACTGCTGCTTGATATATGAAAAGGACTAAGAAAAATATCTAATCAATTTTTAAGAGATATTTCAACAAAGAATATTTAAAACTATGCTTAAGAGTGTTCTTTTAAAATGTAACAACACGGAAATAGCTTCTTTTCCTCCAGTGCTTTGCAACAACAGGCTTTTTGTTTTGGTTTGTTTTTTTTTAAACCTGGAAATCCATGGCCTAGTAAGCAGGCGCTAAGGATTTGTTCACACATTCGCTCTTCAAAGAGTGCAGGTTTCCAACAAGAGACACAAACATATTGATAGGCAGTGGACAATGCTGTTTTCCTCCCTGAACAGTAGTATCTGTACACCCATACTTATCCTTCCACCTAACTGCAGTCATATTTTGACATTCTATGGAGATCTCAGTTGCTTCCCCACAGTGAATCAGCAGGGTAAACAGTATCTAATGGGACGCGCATAGAGAGCAAACTTGGCAGCAACAGGGCACAAGATCCAGAGAGAGGCAGTAGGAAAAGGCAAAAGGCGTTTCTACAAATCTGTTTAGTTTACCTGTCCATATAAAAAAAGGTCCCCACAGAAAGCGAGTACATCACTTCTTCACCTTTGTTCTCTATCTTTTTTTCATTTTATCCTTACCTCATCCTCCCAACCTACCCCCAGTGTTATTTGTCTGTCTCTCATCTACTTGCATTATCTTGGTGCCTTCTTCCTTGCTTGATTTCACAGAACCAGGAACAACAGGGTTTTCACAAGGACTACTGGATCTTACCATACCAAATGATACCTAATGGACCTATTATGGAAAAGAAGATAAATCTAACACCAATAAGCACCAGCAAAGCAGCCACCTAGAAGAACAATTAATTACTGATTATTAAGTAACTCAAGAGCTGGTGCAGAATACACTCATGGTCAGCCCTTAGACCCTGTTCAAAACTGCAGCAAGATTTAAGGACAGAATACATTCTGCTAACTTCTTTCTGACGAAAGCTTAAACAAACTTACTTTAGGTAGGCACATCTGTAGTACTTACAAACAGAAATTCACTCACAGGGCATTTCACTGTGAATCCAGGCAACTTCAGCCTAAGGCCACTAGCCATTTAGTAAAGTAGGAGCCGAGGCAGCACCACATAATCCATAGAAGTCAAGACTATTTCCACATTCAAACTTCTTTACATTACTATCTGCAGTGGTCGGCGCAGTGTAACTGCTTCATGGCCACAGAATAGGTCTTAAGTTTAGTGAACAGCTGCTGACAGGAACCTGTCTGTGCTTCTAGGACTAGTGGACTTTTTCCTAACTGCAGGACTTAAAAACCTTTCTCCTGCACACTGCTGTGTGATTCCCAGGAGTATTCCTGAGGCATT